AGATAAAATAGTATCATACGTTTTGAAAGGTACTTGCTATAATACTCCTTTGTTAATGCTCTGTCACTTATCCAACTCCTGCAAAATAGACTCTAATCTGATATTTAGTTAAGTTCATAACACAAGAATTGAGTTAGCTTTCCATTTGTAAGTGGCATTAATGCATCTCTCAGATGGGAGTCATGTAAAGAGAGAAAGGAAAAGCAAGTCAACTGCCCTTCTGTTGAGTCCTTTGGTGATGTTGGTGACAACAAATGACTGGATGTGATTATGTGCATAAAACCATCAAACTTGTTAATACCTATTCCAAGCACTGTGAAGTTCAAAGGGCTTTGAAAGGTCATTTAGTCCTCCTCCCAAGCTCTGGCCAATAAACAAAATAAGATAACTGCAGAGTATTGTAAAGTCATGCTGTTTTTTAGAGACTTTCTGAAAGGAGATTTCACAGTCTCCCTCAGAAATACAATTCGTTTTTTAACAACCCTCATTGTAGAAAAGGTCATTTTAATATCTAACCAGAGTCCCAATTGCTGTAATAAAAGGTCATGTCCTCCTTTTCAGCTCTTGTTAAAGACGGTGAAGAGTTGGTTACTCGCTTCATCATAAATGAATGGTCATTGAGCACCTACCCCTACCGTGGCCTATTCTCTTCTTAGAACAACCCTTTATGTATTCAAGATCACCAGGAAGTCACTTTACAGCTCTCTTTTCTTCAGGCCAAATGAACCCATAAACACTTCCTCTCCAGGCCCCTAGTTTCCAACTCTCTATTAATCTTCACAGCCTTCTCTGCAGATGTTCCATACCCCTTCCAGTAATGAACACGTTCCTTGGTCATTTCTGGCTAATTTGAAATACAAAAGGTTTCTCATTCAGTTCTCTGTGTTGTTTTTTGTTTTGTTGGGGGTGGGGTGGGGAGGGTTTGTTACCTGTAGATTGTACGCAGCAATTTTTCTCCCACCTGGTGAGTCCTTCCAAGCTTTGCCTAAAGCTTTTGTGACTCTGGGAGAGAAGAAAATAGGGATGAAGAAAACAGGAAGGACATTAGTAACACACTGACATGTAAAGCTTTGTGTATGAAACAGAAAGTAAGGAAAAAGTATTGTGTCCTCAAAGAAGCAGAATAGCCTGCTCAGTCAATGCTTTTATTCAAAATCACTTTGAACAAACAAACTAGCAACATGGATAAGGTATAAACATATATATGTGTAAATGTAAATGAAAAGAATCCTGGCAGTGGGGGTTCTAAATCAACCTAAGGCTATGGTTTCTTTGATATTTCTCTTCTCACAGTTGGAGGCCAGGCAAGCAATCAATAAATAACTGTTCACAATGATTGGCAAGTTTCAGTGGGAAGTTATAGAGATTTTACGGCTTTTGAAGAGTTTAAAGCAGTTAGGGAGAACAAATCAACTTACTGACATTCGGAAAATTAACAATAAACAAGGACAGTCTAAAATGAGTTATAGGAACAATGAGTGATAAAGAATTCAGAAGACCCTGGTGTAGCAGTGAAAGCTGAACTGACCACAACAGAGTCACCTTCATGGGGGAGGAGGACCTTGTGCTGGCACCTGACAGATGAATCAACAGAGATGGTAGGACCTAGATGCCTGGTGGGGTGGGGGGTGTATTATGCTGACCACTCACTACACAGGGCCTTTTGCTAGCAGACATCTGCCTAGCAGGGAAATTAATTACAATTGCATTTGGGACAAATGGCGGGACAGCCAAGGGCAGAAAGCACAAGGACAGGAGTGGATGTGGAAAAAGCTATTGGGCCCTGGGAAGTATCTGCACCACGCACGCGGTCTTGTTACTGGAGCGATTCTCCTGGGAAAGAGCGGCAGAGGCTTCCAATGTCCCTTTAACAAGAGTTTAGTGTATGTGCTTGTGTACAAGTATGCACACATGCATGTATGATTCTGCAGGGGAGACTCTCACAGGACGCATGTGCTCACAGAGACACATACACACAACTCTCTTCCTTCTATGAAGCCAGAGCAGAAAACCTGAAACCAAACCCCAGTAACCTCTGGGGCCAGTCCTGAACACACAGGAAAGAGAATTGCTACAACTTTTGTAAACATACAGAAATCCTTGTAGGAAAAATCCTTTTACCCTCTTACAGAGAAAGATTAGAACAAGGGGATACAGAGGGGAAAGAAAAGACAAAAAAAAAAGAAGTAAAATATATGTAGGTCAAAAGAGACGAGAGAAAAAAGAAGCGAACGAAGAAAGAAGTAGTGACCAACTTTAGAAGAATTTGAGCAGTGGGTAAGGCTATCGGATGAAATCTCTCGAGGTGTGAACTTTGGCTTTGAGCACTTGTGCATGCCTCTGTAACTACACTGGGCATTCTTGTATTTCGTCACTGCCTTGTCTTTTGCCACCTTTAGATAAGAAATGATTGAGAATATGGACCAAGTGTGCATTCATCCATGCATCCTCATTGGTGACCCCCAACAAATGTTTGTTGAATTAATGAAATTGTTATATTCTGAAGTTTGTAATTCCCAGGACAGATTGTTCTGGTAAAATAATTGCTGCTTTGCTTATGAATCCCTCTCCAATGCTTAGCTTTTAGGTCAAGCTGTCCCAGTAGGTATCAGGAGGAGCCTTAGGGGCAGCCAGTGCTTGCCATGCTCTATCCTTTCTTTCCTCACTCTATCCCCAGAGTCCCTCTACTCATTTCTTAAATTCTATAATCTAATATTTCATTCTTTTGACTTAAGTCAGATAGATTCTGCAAATGTTCCTGGGAGAAGAAGCACACTGGGCTGTATCAGACATTTATACTTTGGTCTGAAGTCCCAGGTAGGGTCATTTCCTAAAAGCAGGATCTGTTTCTGGAGGGAGAATGAGAATTCTGGTTACCCAGGTAGCTAAAGAGTGGAAACATAAAAAGACAAAATGGGAATCCAAGGGAACAAAGACAACTTTTTCCTGCTACTCTGGTTTTGTCTCTGGATGTTCATGTCCAGTGATGTAAATTTCCAGCCCAGGTATTTTGCCCTGTTCATCTTTCTGGCTTCTTGTGCTTCCTATTTTAGTTCCCAGGAAACTAAGGATGTCTTTGTCTCTACTTTGTCAACTCAGCAACAGAACAGCTGCCTTCAGCTCACCATCAGGCTGTCTCTCTGTGTGTGCTCATTTGCTGAGCAGGTGTGTTCTCTCCAGATACACCTTTTAAGGTGATGGCGTCATCATTCAGCAGTGCTCAAGGAACTGGAGGGAAGGGAGGAAAAAACGCTAATTAGTTTCTATCCAAAGTTCCCTCACTGCTTCTGATGTGCTGGCATAATGTGTTTTGTGTCCTCTCTCTGCTCTGGGCATAATTATTCCCTCCAAGGAACTTAACTGAGTAGAAGGAGGATGAGGGTTTAAGGAGAATGATAGTTGTTCTCCTACTTTCCCCATATGTTGCAGGCAGACATGGAAACTCTGAGGTTGACATTAATCATCATGCCTGTGGTTCTGAGGGATCAGAGAAGCAGCCTCCATTCCTATCTCTCTCCCATCTGACCCACCATGAAGCTGGAACTGAGGTCTAAATCACACCCTGTTTCTTAACACCCACCATGCAGTTTTGGTTGTTAAATGTGTTTGCTAAACCTCTGATCTCAGCTACCATTCTCTTTGATGGTTGTGTTCTTCTTGCGAATTATTTGTACGTGTTTACTGCCCTATTACTGAACCAGTTCTGCTTGATTTCCTTGTTCACTCTTTAATTTGGTAGCACCTTATTTTACAGTCCACTAACTTTGTTGAAAATAAATTCACTTTACTTGTGGGGTTAGTATTACTCATTTGATAACATAAGCACCATATTAGGGTGCAGTGAATGCATAGTAAGTGCTGCACAATTACAAGGTAAATATACGATGGGTTTATTTTATCCTCTAAGCCCAACACAGGGAGACAGAGTAATTACTTTTGGACCTATTAAGTGTACTCACCACATAATCTGTAGGAAGATTAATTATGTAGTTAGCATTTGCCACCTTCCATTTCCACATACATTCTAAGATTACAGCTTTTAGGATTACGTTGTCTTGGATAAATCTCCTATGTTGTATTGCAGTCACCATGATGAATCTGCTTCAGGAGGAAACCACACCCAGGTCACATCTAGAAAAAGAGTTGAAAAGCAGCTACAACACGTCTTGGGGGATGGGAGACACCCACATTCTAAATTCAAACTAACGCTTTTATTTTTGCTTTGCCCATGCATTCAATAGGATGGAGTAGGAGAGGTATGGGAGAAACAGCATGTGCCCTGTTAGAGACCAATCCTCTTCCACAATAAAATATTAGAGTCTAGCATTTAATTGGTGTCAGAAAACATTTATCATGGACATAACAGCACCTGGGACCAAGACCTTCATATCTCACAGTAAAAAATATCTCATAATGATTGTATACCCTAAACTGATATTGTCAGTGCTTTCTTAATCTGAATGATTTATGCCACAACTGGAACTCATATTTGTGAACGCTGGTCTTCTCTCTCTTGACTCATAGACTGTGTGTTATCTCCTCGCCCTAGAATGCACTCTGCAATTGCATGTGCCCCAAGTCATATATAAGCAGAGATGTTCACTCATATTTTTGTCATTGTGTGTGGGTCTGTCCTCCCTCCAGTAAAAATAAGATGTAAAAAGTATTTTGCAGGTAAATATGACTTCCTAAAATAAGTTAAGGGGTAGTCTATTTTCACTAGAAAAATAATATTTTCTCTGCAAAATTGATTCTCTTCAAGAGTCTATTACATGGTAAGCCACCTTTATGCAGTTAAGATATCTGACTGGCATTTCTTTGATGTGTACAAGGCATTTTAGAAATATGATTATTATGTGAAAGAAAGTACACCTGTGGCTAGCTACATATGTCATTTCCTACTGCTCCAAAAATCCAATTGCATTTCATTTTGTGTCCCAGGGTGGCTTTTTGGCTTTGTGCCCATGTTGGTCATTTAGAATTTCTCTTGTGTCTTTCAGGCATCGAGAATGCCAGCGACATTGCTTTGTACTCAGGCTTGGGCGCTGCTGTCGTGGCTGTTGCAGTCCTGGTCATTGGTGTCACCCTTTATAGAAGGAGCCAGAGTGACTATGGCGTGGACGTCATTGACTCTTCTGCATTGACAGGTGGCTTCCAGACCTTCAACTTCAAAACAGTCCGTCAAGGTCAGCGGCGTAGGTCCCCCCACATCTTATCCTCAGGACCATAGACTACACTCACACTGGAAGCCCAGTGTTCTCCTGGGCCCCGTGTGGAGGTAGCTCTTGACCCTGAGAGCCGCTACCGAATTGTCTTCTTATCTTAGGAGACCATATGTAATGATGTGGTCTGCTTAGGTTCTTGGCTACTACAAGGACAAATGGATCAGAGTTTACCATTAGTAACATTTTCAATGAAGCATTTCCCTTTTTGATATATGGTGAGCTTAATGAGTTATTTTATCTCAAATTATCCAACTTTCTATTTTAAGAAGCCCGCTTCAAAGATGTATATTTAATTTCATTAACTAAAATACTGATTATTCAATCCTAAGCATCAATGACTATACCACAACTTCCCAGGTATATTTATTACACTATTTATGAGGTGGAGTTATTTTTGTTACTTCTATTTTGAATAAGTAAAAGGACTTTAGAGGACATATGATAGGTCAGTTATCCAGGAGGCAAAAATGAAATTCCAGCCTAAATGACTCTCAGCTATTGCCAAGTCCCAGCAATCTTTTGTTGTGGGGGAAGAAAAATCTATCATGTCAAACTATAGCAATGCTCATTTTCAAAACAGAGTCATTTAATTCTCTTATATGAACCAAATCTATTCCTGATTGCAAGGTAGGGATGAGACATACACAACTTTCATTTTTGAAGAAAATGAAACTGTCTCTCCAAAGAGGATGTAGTTTTCTATTTGACCCTCATCGTCAATATTGTCACCTTTACTTCTGCTTATTGTGCATCAGTAGTGTCTATAGCACAGGACAAGAAGTCTCAGTGCATGGCGGTGATTGAATAGATAGGCTTCTCAAGTGGAAACTCAAGCATGCTAGATAAAGAAATTGAGGAATGGCCTGAGAGATAACAGTACTTCACCTCTTGCCATTCACTTCTGGGTACCTCAGAGTTAAGCACTGGAGAGGGTCACATCTAGATTTGGGTGTATACTTTAGTAAATGTGATTTAATTAGAAATAAATCCAAAGGAAGGACTGATTTTTATACACATAAAGACACTAGAAATATATTTCTATCAGATATCAATATCTTAAGTCATAACACTTGAAAATAGAGGGGTCACATTAGTGTGAGAGTGTCGTGTATAAAATCCACAGGCTTTCAAGTTACTTAGATTTCAGTCTAAAACTGCTGCATGATCTAATAAAGTATCCTCTCTAAGTCTCAAAGCTGTAAAATGGGTACGCTAACACCCACCTCAGAGTGTTTGTGTGAGGATGATGTCACCTGGAGTAACATAGGCAAGCTCTCCGAATAGAAAGTGCTCATAAATGTAGTGAATACAGTTCTAGAAGCTTTTTGTCTCCACTCACTCCAGGACAGAATGCCAGGCAGCAGTGAGGGGGTGGTTCCCTGAGCTGGGCAGTGGTGCCTTGCCTAAGCTTACACACATCTCATTACTGAGGAGCTTCTCAGAACTTACATGTATTATGGCTCCTTGCCAAACTTACCTGACCTTTAAAAAAAAAAAAAAAAAAAAAAAAAAAACTTTGGCCAAGAATCTCAGAATGCTAGTGATGTAAGAAAAAGTCTTTTGGTTAATGCTACTCTCTCTGAATCTACTGTGGTGACCTGCCTTATGTTGAAGGTCATGTGATTTTCACCTCCACTGTCTTAGAGACATCCATTCTTGAGCAGTACATCCAGTGCCCCAGCAAGGTGAACAGTGAGCCTTTTAAATAGAATGTCATTCTTAGAGTAGACCAGAAACTTGAAAAAGCATTTCCAAAGAGAAGATTGGGGTGACCAGGGGTGGATGACCAGCGCTGGTCAAACTTCAATCAAGCTGGCAGCCAATTTACTCCAACTGTGGATGCTGTTGTATGTACATACATTCAAAATCAGGCATTTTCTACTCAAGGGCTGTCTAACTTGGAAATATTTTTGCTTCTCTGTATCACTTAGGTGAGGAGAGTCTTCTAAGAGTAGTCAAAAATTAAACTTCAGTAGATGGCAGCTTGAGATAGAATAGCCAAATGATTTAGAAATGTGACTTTTGACATCTCTGTGAAAACTCCAGTTCCAAACTCTTCTCATATTTGAAATAGTTGTTTAGTCCTCCTTCTTACCTGAAAGGACCATAAAGGTGGTCACCGATGGAACTCAATATAGTCCTGTTAAAAAGTACAGCTCCCTGGTGGCACCTGTGTCATGATACAATAAGCACAAGCATGAAAAAAAAAGGAAGTGTCATCAAGGAGCCTTTAGCACTATAATGCTATTTCATCTCATTTATATATTTTTCTCTGTGATTCTGGATTCATAAAGCGTCACAAGAGGGGGGAAAAGTCAGGGTTATAGATTTCCTGCTGGCATTGCTACAAATTATGAAAATGGACAAACAATAGAGGCTAATACAGTATGACCCAGAATTGCAACATTTTCAAAAAGATCATACTTTAAACATTTTTTCAGGCCCCAAAGGAAAATTGTTTAATATGGTTTGGGTTTCAATTTGAGATGTCACATTGACGGACTGATGTGGGTGGGAGGATTGAGACTGAGGGTTATTTTGTTATTTACTAATAAATGAGATTACTTCATCACAAGAAAATATCACAGCGTTTCTTTTTAATATTTGGCGTGGAAAAAACGAGTGAGCCCCAACAGATGACAAAGCCCAATTTCTCATGTTTTTGTAAAGATTGTTTTTTGCATTTGTTGTGAGACAGAAAGGAAACCATTCTAAACTCCTCTCCTTGTAGAATCTGGTTCCCTCATATGTCCCACGTGGTGCATTCTTTTCCTTTCAGAGTGACATATGTGTTATTAGGACAAATTGGTTACTTAGGTATGGTGCAGTTCATGAGGTCCCCTGACTCTTTTGTTCTGAGGACACGTCAGAAACTATCCAGAATTCCACGTTCAGGGTACCGAAACTGACACAGCTTCGGTTATAAACAGCACTACCTAGTCACCACACTGTATCATCTCTTGCCATTTTAAATGAACAGATGTTATTTTTGCTTCAAACTGGATTGCAAAACATCTTTCTTTTTTTGTTGTATTTTTTTTAGCTTCTCTTTGCCATTTAAAATAATCACATAAACAATAATACCTGAGTTAGCTATCTGACAGAGTGCCAGAAATAGTTGTTTTGAAAAGGTAGCATGTAAAGATCTCTGGAAAGTGAAGGATCTGGGTCAGAGGCATTCAGAACATGGACAGAGAAAGACAGAGCTACTGATTCAAAGGTTCTATCTACTAATGCCCAACCTGGCAGGGTGAGCCTGAAGCGCTAGCTTGGGTTGCAGCCGCTGGCAACCACACAAGTCATTGTGCAGTTAGTAGAGGCAGATGCAAAGGGGTAATTGAGGTGCCTTTTCGTTTCTGAGTGACAGATCAATTTTCTTTTACTAGGTAACTCCTTGCTCCTGAATTCCGCCATGCAGCCAGATCTGACAGTGAGCCGGACATACAGCGGGCCCATCTGTCTGCAGGACCCTCTGGACAAGGAACTCATGACCGAGTCCTCACTCTTTAACCCTTTGTCGGACATCAAAGTCAAAGTCCAGAGCTCTTTCATGGTTTCCCTGGGAGTGTCTGAGAGAGCCGAGTACCATGGCAAGAATCATTCTGGGACTTTCCCCCACGGAAACAACCGTGGCTTTAGTACAATGCATCCTAGAAACAAAACGCCTTACATCCAAAATCTGTCATCACTGCCCACAAGGACAGAACTGAGGACAACTGGTATCTTTGGCCATTTAGGAGGGCGTCTAGTAATGCCAAATACAGGTGGGTGGTGTGTGTTCATGTATTTTTAGTGTTTGTTTCAACATTTTATTATACACAGTTATGGCCCAACAGATTCATTTTATGATATTTACCATCCCCTTGTCAGAACTGCAAACACTGTGGCTCCACTAGCTCACTTGGTTGACATGGCAAACCAGAACCGACACTGAGATTAGATCTTGCAGTCTTCATCTCAGCATGGATCTAGCACTCTGTTTGGTGCCCCATTCGAGTTGATAGCCGTACTTGCCCAAAAGGTTTGGGTAGCCCCCAGGTTTTGAGCCCCTTTGAAATATATTTTCTAGAACATCATCAGGAAGCACCAAAAACATTCTTACCAGTACCATTTTTACGCCCAAGTGTGGTTTATGCACTAGTAGACAGTATTTCTTTAATAACTGACTTAATAAATGTTCTTAGTTTCCATAGACCTCGCTGTAATATTACTTTATGAAGAACAATGATGAAGGATCACTGTAGAGCTGCTCCTTGGAACTCAAACTTAAATTCCAGTGTTATGTCATCAGTATAATAAATTCTCGTGAATTTTTTTTTCCTCCTTTTGATTGAAAGAGATTTTCTTGATGTTTTGGCAGGATACCTAAGGTGTCCGGCCTAGATCACTTTTAAAATGATGTCCTATTTTTGAATTAGTCTTTAGAGTTGCCTTCTAAGACCTAAGTGGATGGCAGAATAGGTCAGTTCCTCCTCTGATTGCTAAGCAACGAGAATTAGGTAGCCTGCTGGATCAGATAGTGCTCTGCTGGCTGCTGTAGGGAAGGGAATCCACTGAATCTGCAATTGGTTATTAAACAACAGGTCAGCAATGAGTCAGAGCCATTATAGCCTTGACAGATTGCTCTCTAGGGTGGAGCTAACCAACTTCTAAAATCAAATATTTTATGTCATAAAATGCAATCTAAACTACTATTGTAGCTAACTGATCCCTTTAGTAGCTTAGTGACTTGAGACTGAAATTTTTTTCAGGTTGACAAATGTTGTCTCCCTCTCTCCTAAAACAATTGTTTCCTTGAAAACTTCATTTCAAAATGTACTTTATTTCATAAATGTAGCACTAATTGGAAGATTTCGTTTTGTTTTTTTTTTAACCTCCATTACTCTAAATCTTCCTTGCTCATTATTTTAGGACATGTTAAGGATCTTGGTTCAAATATGTATGCATGAGTGTCTGTGTGTGATGTAATTCTTCTTGTTGATAATTGATTGGCAGATAGGAGACTCATTGGGGGAATGAGTTAGTCAGCCATATTTACCAATTACCCTCCCTATAAGAATCCATAAATTAGGTGTGTGGGTCCTAAGACCCTCTCTAAAAGAATAGGATGCATCAGAATTATATAAAGTTTGGTTGGGTGCAGAGGTGTGTACCCATAATCCTAGCTTCTCGGGAGCCCAGAAATTTGAGACTAGTCTGGGCAACACAGAAAAAGATCCTGTCTCTAAACAAAACAAAACAAAAAAACAGAATCATATGAAGTTGTGCATTGAGTTATTGTGCATTTTTCTTAACTCCTCTTCCTAGCCCATGCTTGGCATTTAAGTGGCTTTCAGTAGTGACTGGTTGAATAAATTGACAGTCTTCCTTCTCTCCTCATCCTCTTTTGTTAATGTATGTTTATGTATACGTATTTACACACATGTGGAGAGAGTGCCAAAATCAACCAATTCCTTGTCTATATTTGTTTGATATTCATCAGAGAGAGGAGGAGATGAAACTATGAGGAACCAGAGATTTTTTTTTTCTTTTCCTCTGAATTGAGAAGCACTCATATTGAAAACTAGAAGTTCTGATAGCATTGTCAATGATTCCCAGTTTCTCTGTGAAAGGAACATTTTCAAAGCTCCTGGCTAGGAGTGCTGGATGAGATTGAAACAGTTCACTAGGAATGAGCTTGAGGTAAACTAAGTGTGGGAAATTCAAACATATGCTCTGTTACTTGCAAGACATAAATGCAAAATATGCCCAAGGGAGTTAAGTGTAAAGAAAGCGAGTCACAGAAGGTAGATTGCTCTAATCCATCCATCCCAAATTATCATATGATACCTGGCAATGATTTCTCAAAAAGGTCAGGGTGGTCTCCACACTCTAGAAATCATGTATTATTCTAAATATAAAACTGGAAACTCAGACAGGTAGTTCTATTGTCATACCAAATAAAAGGCTGACAGCGTAGCAGGTGGAGTTTGGAGGGAGTGTATTTTTCTTTAATTGGAGAAAAAACAGAATCATATGAAGTTGTGCATTGAGTTATTTTGCATTTTTCTTATCTCCTCTTCCTAGCCCATGCTTGGCATTTAAGTGGCTTTCAGTAGTGACTGGTTGAATAAATTGACTGGTTGAATAAATTGACAGGTCGATATCCAAACATGCTTGTAAATGACATGTTGAAATGGGTACTTCTTTATGGGACCCTAGGCACAAAGTTGTCCCACATCTATCATTCATCATGATCTATAACTTGGCACTTTCCACATGCCTCTATGTTGGACCATCTTCAGTGTCCACTCAGAATTTGTGTGTTTGGGAAGAAAAAGGGGGGAAGTATGTTTGAAAGATTATTTCTCATTGAAGAAGAGAGAAAATTGCTTAAAGTTCCAATAATCCTGTAGACTCAGGTTGAATTTGGGAGTATTCTGAGCAATGTTCCAATCCAAACACAGGGAATTAAGCCGACTTAAAAGGAACAAGATATGACCAGCTCCACACATAGCCCTTTCTCAATGGTCCTCACACATCTGCCTTCTGTCTTGACCTGGCAGTAGACCATCAGGCCATGATGATCTGCAGTAGATAATGTGTCTCAGATTCTGGCTTTTTTACTTAGAATTTTGAATCCTATTCTTTTATTCAGATATTCACAATATGTTTTCAGCTTCCTACTCTGTGCCAGGCATTATGCTAAGTGTTACTGATGTATTGCTGTTATCCTTACTGCTTGATGATAGTCTCCTGTACATCTGTATCTGAAGAATAGAGGGATATATGTCTGTCATCACAATGACCTAAAGTGGCAGCAGAGGGAAAGTTCTGTGTCAAACTAAGAGAAGACAAAATGTCCGGGGTGTATATTCAGGTCGATATCCAAACATGCTGAGTATCCTATGTATTACAACTTGAGTTTAGCAGCAGGAAGGGATATAATAGAGGCTGTTTCATTTGGCAACTGCATTTAAGGAAGAATTGAAAATGGAAGGAAGAGCCTGATTGGAGGTCCCTAAGTAAAGCAATTACAGTTCCCCTGCTATTGACATTAAGGCCTAGAATATAAATGGACTCCTTGCTGAAACACTGTATGCAAGATGTAAATGTGCCTTATTCTTAGTGCTGGTGAAAAATACTGTTGATAACTAGCATGTTACTGAATAATGCTCATAACTGTGAATCGCAAACAACTTGTTTTGCAATAAGTCTCGCATTCCTTGACTCGATAGCTGCTAACAGGCACATAGAAGGATATCGGTAAAGCCTGCCATCTCTAGATTTAAATGATCATCAGCAAACTGAAAGCTTTCTGAGCGATTGCATTAGCTCTAATGAAAGGAAAAGAGGTGAGATCTGCATTATTCAAAGAACAGGAGGATGTCTTGGGATTTTATTTTGTAAAGATCTGACAGTTTCTCCATTTCATATCTTTTTATAAACTTATAAACAAGAAGCTACATTAAAAAGAATCCTTGCCCTCCCTAGACACTTCTCTCTTGGCCAAAGTGAAATATTTTCTTCACAGCACTCCAGAGGACAGCAAGGACATTTAAAATGTGGTATGATGTGGCTTCCTATGCCTTCTTTCTCAGCATTCTATGACTTCACTGAAATGAAGCTGGTTTTTTCCAGCTTGATATTGACATGAGTATGGTTAAGTCACCTTTAACCTTAACTTTTTTTTAGCTTTTATTTGTAAACTTAAGGTCATATTGGCTACAAAATAACCTTTAATTTTCTTAAGTACATCAGAAACTTTTACTTTCTCTAGACTTAACAAAATGTAGCACTCCTTGGACATCACCCTCAACTTATTTCCAGATGCACAATTTGTAAGACAATTTCATATCAGGTTCTAGCAAAGTATTAGATAGCTCACCCATCATCCCAGGTGACTTTTCAAAAAATAAATGGATAGTGACAAGACAGAAAAATACATTTTTAAATTCTGGCGCAGATTAACTGATGTGTTAATAAACTCATATTCTCAGAGATGTTTAATACTTATTGTCTTAGAACACCCAATCCTTTAAGAGAATTAAGCAATGCTGAAAATAATTTAAAAAGAAAAAAGCTATGTGAGCACTCAGTTGACTAATAAGCCCTATTTATGTCACTGTTATAAAACAATGTTTTTCCCTTTATAATCTTGGGCTTTTTTAAATTCCTAAGGATTGGGATTTCAAAAATTGCCTTAAGAAAGTTCCTTTGTATGAGCATTTATAAGGTGCTCAAGTGAGGTACTTCAAGATAATTGGAAAATCTATGAATAACCTGTTGGCTTTTTCTGTTTTAGGGGTGAGTTTACTCATACCACATGGCGCCATCCCAGAGGAGAATTCTTGGGAGATTTATATGTCCATCAACCAAGGTGAACCCAGGTGAGACAGAAAAATGGCATATTAATGATATTTTAAATATGGAGTAGAACTTCTATAAAAAACCTAAAATTGTTAAAACAATGAGACATGGAGGTGTGTATGTGAGATTGTGAGTTACCTGACTCTATAAAGAAAAAAACAGTTGCAAAACTATTGACTACAATGTAAACATGCATGGCTTCACACTTTATGGTCACTGACCTCTAAACAGGAGATACCAAGTGGAAAACTGTTCATTGGTAGGCAGGTCAGAAGCAGGGCCTCTCCATAATCACTGCGTCACAGAGTCTTCCTCTCAAAAGAAAAATACATTATCCCTGAAGGCACTCTTTGGTGCTGGGCATCAGGCAAATACATGCAATAATTGATTCATGATCCTTTTAAGGTCAGATGACCTGCTATATGCAGGCTTACAGACTATTTCTTAGGCAATTTTTGGCATTGCAAAAATATGCTAAAACTTCAATAGCTTTCAGGTCTGACAAATTTCAGCAGCATTAAATTCAATTACACGAACAAATACAAATCTTGTCACATTCTCTTTTAACGAAAGTTGTTGGTTATTTTCTTAGCACAACTATAATATTTGTGGAAATGTTGCCTTCCTCCACATAAGATAAACCTAACTCCTCTTTAGAAAGCAATTTCTCTCATAAACTGGATATATACCTCTGGCATTTTTAGTCATAACATCTTGGTTATTTTAAAATAGATTTTTTTGTTGTTGTCAGCAAAGAACACATGAAAGAAAAACACTGGAAGGAAAAACAGCCAGAGAAACAAATGGTTTAAACAGATTTTGATAACTATTTTTATAAAAGAATTTATAGGTGCCGATGGTTGTAACTTTCCCATGTAAAGGACTTAAGAGGAATGGGAGAAAGGGTTCTGACAGTTGGTGAAGCTCGTAGAGGTTTGTGTGCAGGTTGAACTATGTTGGGCTCTCACAGTTTTGCCTTGGTTGAGTAGAACTAGGTTCTTTGCCTGTACACCTGAAAATATTCTGATGTCTACATAACTCCTCTTGGCAAATGGGGAAACTGAGACTCAGAAAGACTTAAAGAGTTTGCTCAAAAGATTAGTCAGGCAAACCTAAAAATGGAGTTTCCTGGATGAAAGTCACCTTTTTGTTATCCTTCTGGCTGATTTACTTAAGAAACCATATATATGCCTTAAAACACATCATACTGCAAAAATCAAGTATGAGGTAGAATCTAGTCAGT